GTCTGTCTGTCTGTCTGTCTGTCTGTCTGTCTGTCTGTCTGTCTGTCTGTCTGTCTGTCTGTCTGTCTGTCTGTCTGTCTGTCTGTCTGTCTGTCTGTCTGTCTGTCTGTCTGTCTGTCTGTCTGTCTGTCTGTCTGTCTGTCTGTCTGTCTGTCTGTCTGTCTGTCTGTCTGTCTGTCTGTCTGTCTGTCTGTCTGTCTGTCTGTCTGTCTGTCTGTCTGTCTGTCTGTCTGTCTGTCTGTCTGTCTGTCTGTCTGTCTGTCTGTCTGTCTGTCTGTCTGTCTGTCTGTCTGTCTGTCTGTCTGTCTGTCTGTCTGTCTGTCTGTCTGTCTGTCTGTCTGTCTGTCTGTCTGTCTGTCTGTCTGTCTGTCTGTCTGTCTGTCTGTCTGTCTGTCTGTCTGTCTGTCTGTCTGTCTGTCTGTCTGTCTGTCTGTCTGTCTGTCTGTCTGTCTGTCTGTCTGTCTGTCTGTCTGTCTGTCTGTCTGTCTGTCTGTCTGTCTGTCTGTCTGTCTGTCTGTCTGTCTGTCTGTCTGTCTGTCTGTCTGTCTGTCTGTCTGTCTGTCTGTCTGTCTGTCTGTCTGTCTGTCTGTCTGTCTGTCTGTCTGTCTGTCTGTCTGTCTGTCTGTCTGTCTGTCTGTCTGTCTGTCTGTCTGTCTGTCTGTCTGTCTGTCTGTCTGTCTGTCTGTCTGTCTGTCTGTCTGTCTGTCTGTCTGTCTGTCTGTCTGTCTGTCTGTCTGTCTGTCTGTCTGTCTGTCTGTCTGTCTGTCTGTCTGTCTGTCTGTCTGTCTGTCTGTCTGTCTGTCTGTCTGTCTGTCTGTCTGTCTGTCTGTCTGTCTGTCTGTCTGTCTGTCTGTCTGTCTGTCTGTCTGTCTGTCTGTCTGTCTGTCTGTCTGTCTGTCTGTCTGTCTGTCTGTCTGTCTGTCTGTCTGTCTGTCTGTCTGTCTGTCTGTCTGTCTGTCTGTCTGTCTGTCTGTCTGTCTGTCTGTCTGTCTGTCTGTCTGTCTGTCTGTCTGTCTGTCTGTCTGTCTGTCTGTCTGTCTGTCTGTCTGTCTGTCTGTCTGTCTGTCTGTCTGTCTGTCTGTCTGTCTGTCTGTCTGTCTGTCTGTCTGTCTGTCTGTCTGTCTGTCTGTCTGTCTGTCTGTCTGTCTGTCTGTCTGTCTGTCTGTCTGTCTGTCTGTCTGTCTGTCTGTCTGTCTGTCTGTCTGTCTGTCTGTCTGTCTGTCTGTCTGTCTGTCTGTCTGTCTGTCTGTCTGTCTGTCTGTCTGTCTGTCTGTCTGTCTGTCTGTCTGTCTGTCTGTCTGTCTGTCTGTCTGTCTGTCTGTCTGTCTGTCTGTCTGTCTGTCTGTCTGTCTGTCTGTCTGTCTGTCTGTCTGTCTGTCTGTCTGTCTGTCTGTCTGTCTGTCTGTCTGTCTGTCTGTCTGTCTGTCTGTCTGTCTGTCTGTCTGTCTGTCTGTCTGTCTGTCTGTCTGTCTGTCTGTCTGTCTGTCTGTCTGTCTGTCTGTCTGTCTGTCTGTCTGTCTGTCTGTCTGTCTGTCTGTCTGTCTGTCTGTCTGTCTGTCTGTCTGTCTGTCTGTCTGTCTGTCTGTCTGTCTGTCTGTCTGTCTGTCTGTCTGTCTGTCTGTCTGTCTGTCTGTCTGTCTGTCTGTCTGTCTGTCTGTCTGTCTGTCTGTCTGTCTGTCTGTCTGTCTGTCTGTCTGTCTGTCTGTCTGTCTGTCTGTCTGTCTGTCTGTCTGTCTGTCTGTCTGTCTGTCTGTCTGTCTGTCTGTCTGTCTGTCTGTCTGTCTGTCTGTCTGTCTGTCTGTCTGTCTGTCTGTCTGTCTGTCTGTCTGTCTGTCTGTCTGTCTGTCTGTCTGTCTGTCTGTCTGTCTGTCTGTCTGTCTGTCTGTCTGTCTGTCTGTCTGTCTGTCTGTCTGTCTGTCTGTCTGTCTGTCTGTCTGTCTGTCTGTCTGTCTGTCTGTCTGTCTGTCTGTCTGTCTGTCTGTCTGTCTGTCGTCAAAGCAAGCACATGTGATCAAACCTGTATTAGAAAAATTGGACAGATTAATTTTTGCATCAAGTAAAAATGGTTTTCATGTGTCATGGGTTCTCATAATCTTTCACAGAATATTTAGTCATGACAACAAGAACATAAGGCAGTCGGGTCTTATGAAGTTCTTAAACCTGAAATTTCCAGAGGAAGTTCTAATGAATGGTTTTCTGTCCTTTGTTACATGCCATCTTATATCAATATTAAGTGATTATATGTATTATGCAAGAGATCCTGGACAGCCACCTAAAACGAGTTCTGCTGTTGGTGATCAGCTAATCTTGTTCTTTAGAAACATTATAAGCTCGTTGAGTGTTTCTAATCAAAGGCAGTTCTTATGCTCATTACTTGAATCAATTTTTGATGGTAGGCCATGGGGTGGAATTCCCCTGTTTTACCTACTTAGGAGTATTTCTCATATTCCATGCACAAGAGTTTGGAATTATAAAGTTGTAAAAAATGCCACTGTTAATTTTGAAGGATGCCTAAGCACTCAGGATGTAACTTTAAGGTCTGCTAGTCAGTGTGACCTCCTGAATGCAGTCTTCAAACACCTGAGTGTTGAGACTAGTTTAATTGAGATTTGTGACATAGTTGGCCATTTCAGAAGGAAAGAGTCATGGTGTCGTGGTACTGGAACATGGGAAATGATTATTGATGGCCTTGATATTTTTAATGAGAATTATGACAATTCATCAGTACACAAAGCACTAGCTGAAACCATGTCATCACTGGATTGTAAAGATATTGTTCACCCATCAGACATGGCTTTGGGCATTAACTTGCTTATGGAGAAGAATTGCAGGAGAAATGAAAATAATATAAGAGACTTTTATACAGAATCTCTGCTTAAACCTATAACTAACTTCTTGAGAGACTGTCACATGCGTCCATATCTAGACCAGACGAAACTTGCATGGACTTTGCAGGTTGTAGCAGTGACTTTGCAAATAAGATATGAAGTTCCTTCAAATAATCAAGGAACAGAGTTGAAACATGATAGTGATCTCTCATGTCTGGTGAATGGAATCATTTCTGTAGCACAGCTGTTTATTACCCATATGGATATGTTGAACCAGCCACACGATCTGGACACATTAACTCATTATTTGCAATTGTTTGGAATATGCAATAGTGCACCACCTCTCAGATCAACCATGAAAAATTTGTATGTTCAGATACTTGAAAAATGCAAATCCCTGCTGGAAAAAACAGACCCAGTGAAATTGTTATTTGGAATTTTGATATTAGAGCATCTCCTGCTTTTCCATTATAAAGACTCAGGACACAGCATAAGGGAGGAGTACCATCAACTTTTTCTTCAAAAGATTGTGCACAGCATTCCATCACTGACTCAAAGAAGAAGCATAGAAGGCTACAAATCCACAGAGTTCACCTCCAATCTCCTTCTGGAGACCACTCGAAGTTGTTGGTCTTGCATAGATATACTAATCACAAAGGTACTGTTTCTATATACTGCTGTTTGATGTATTTATATGGTAAAGGAAATTATTTCATCATTCTAAAAAAATAAACAAGCAAATCTAAGTTAGATATATACAATATAGAGATATCTTCCCTCTTGTTAACTGTATTTTTTCCTCACAGAAAAAAATGGGCAGTACAAACTCCCTCGCAGAAATTGAGTCCACTGTGGAGGCCTTCTTACCAGAGGCAGTCAATACCTTAGGGCGTCTGAATGCAGTGCATGTGTTTCAGGTGGCTGTTAGTTTAGCTCCTTCTGTTATTAAGGTTTGTATTGGAATCTTTCTGCACATAGTTTAGAAATGGAAGGAGAGATATTCTACATTCCCTGTAGATATATTTCATATTTGTGTGTGATATATAAATATCTTTTCTTCGTTTTCTTTTTTGTTCAGCTTGATTAAAAAAAGATGTTCTTGTTGTTTTTGCTATTCTTAGTAATATTCTTGTTCTTCTTGTTCTTCCTCCTGCTCCTGTTCCTGCTCCTGCTCCTGCTGCTCCTGCTCCTGCTCCTGCTCCTGCTGCTGCTCCTGCTCCTCCTCCTTCTCTTTTTTTTATTATTCTAATTTTTATATTCTTATCATTCAGACAAATATGTGGCAAGAATTGGTTGAACTCATGTGGAGATCGTCTTCAGAGTTCCGGAAAGGGTGCGACCTCTATCGATCCCTAATCGGGTACCTGTCCGATCTCCTCTTCCACAGGGATGCCATAGTCAAGCCTGAGTACCACAAGTTCATTGTTCAGGTGAGAGGGTGGCACAGTTTGCAATTTTCTTTTTCTAGTGTTGGTCATTTGTATATATATATATATATATATATATATATATATATATATATATATATATATATATATATATATATATATATATATATATATATATATGTATATATATGTATATATATATATTTTGTATAGTTATACATACATAGCTGCCCATTAATATTCATTTACCTTTTTATAGATATCTCAGAAATTGTTGACAACTGGTGAGGCTGTCCAGGGCATAGCTGCACACATGGCAAGGAGTCTTATTATGCCGCTGTCAGAGAGGGCAGTAAGAGATGGTCTGCCATCGGGTACTCTGGATGAACTTATGCAGGATGTCCTTGTTCCACTTCTTATGTTCGGATATGTGTTCAGGAAGCAGTTTAAGGTGGTTCAAGATACGGTTGAATATATTCAGCATTGTGGAACTACGTACAGCACCAATATTCTCTTAGAGAGGTAAGGTTGTTGGCAATATTCATAGTGCCATAGCATCTGTCGGCAAATGAAACCTTAAACCTGTATTTTTTCGGCAAATAGGTAAATTTGGCAATTTCTGCTGCTAATGTGCTATAGTATACTATACTATACATACATACATACATACATACATACATACATACATACATACATACATGCATATATTAATTCTGCTATACTGTATTATACCTACAGACATGCATACATAGAGACAATGCACACACACACATGCACACAGACGCACACACACACAGACGCACACACACACAGACGCACACACACACAGATGCACACACACACAGATGCACACACACACAGATGCACACACACAGAGGCACACACACAGACTCACACAAACAGACGCACACACACAGAAGCACACACACACAGACGCACACACACACACAGACGCACACACACACACAGACGCACACACACACAGACGCACACACACACACACAGACGCACACACACACACACAGACGCACACACACACACAGACGCACACACACAGACGCACACACACACAGACACACACACACACAGACGCACACACACACACACACACACATAGACACAGACACACAGACACACAGACACACAGACACAGACACACACACACACACACACACACACACACACACACACACACACACACACACACACACACACACACACACACACACACACACACACACATAGACACAGACACACAGACACACAGACACACAGACACACACACAGACACACACACAGACACACACACAGACACACACACAGACACACACACAGACACACACACAGACACACACACACACACACACACACACACACACACACACACACACACACACACACACACACACACACACACACACACACACACACACACATATATATATTCACTCACTCTCTCTCTCTCTCTCTCTCTCTCTCTCTCTCTCTCTCTCTCTCTCTCTCTCTCTCTCTCTCTCTCTCTCTCTCTCTCTCTCTCTCTTTCTCTTTTACTGGTATAGAGAGAATGGCCATAGTTACCTATAGATAATGTTAACTTTTACAAATATGATTGCAGTAACTGGGACGCTGACCAGAGAGCCAGAGCAATTACTCTTCGTTTCTTGCTTAGCCTGAATAAAGAAAAATCAAGTGACAGAAGCATTGCTGAAGCAACTGTGCAAGGTATCAGGTATCAGTATGCTAAGTGCACAGTGGATCGTCGAGATTTTGGCAACTCTCAGTCCCACCGATACAAGACGAGACTCCTGCAGGCTTTACTCTTGCTCTTGCCATTACTAGATGAGGTAAGCTAGATTGCTGTAATAATGTTCACTGAAGAATTGGAGATGAGGTATAAGCACATGCTTACTTGAAAGATCGGATATTGTGTGGTTTGAGAAATTATGAATCCTCATTTGCATCAACTACTATATAGGAAGAGTGCCTGCTGAGCTTGTCCTGGTTATGCAAAGGCTTGATCAAGGACCACCAGCAGCCAAGTGTCCGTTACATGCAAGAGTGGGGCATTGCACTCATCATAATTTTTCACCCCAGTTTCTACCCTCATCTGCTGAAACACTTTTTGGAGGTATGACCAAGTATGTGCCTTATCAGATGTATATGTAAGTAAGAAGGAGTTAATGCTTATAAGAAGTTGATATTTTATTGCTCACAAGCTAAGTGTTGTTCTCTCCACTTGGGCAAGGGTGCCAAGGAGCGAGTCGGATGTGTTGGCTCTTTCCTGGCCTCCCTCACACATGTGGCTTGTACCACAGAGGAGGAGGAAGTTCTAAGTCAGGCAATCCAGTACACACTACCTTGGTGTATGGCACAGCACTTCAATACTAGGCTTTATGCTCAAGTAAGTGTTTGTTGTGGCTACTTGACAATTAGGATACTTGTGGTTTCTGGAAATAAGGACATGCTTGTAATGTGTTTGATCAAAATAGTTGAGTTTTGTGCAGTTAATTTAATTTATAGACAGTTTTAACAACAACAAAAAGTAATTAATAGTATTGAAAATAAATTGTTACACATGAAAGGAAGTATTTAGAAATTATAACATCAAGAATCTGCAACCAACACTCTGACAGCTCTTTTCATCAGGTCTCTTTGAGGAAGATATGGCATCACTGCCAAGCCATAAATGCAACAGCTGTACTGGATAAGTATGATCCCATGCAACAATGCCTACAGTTTGTGGTGGAACAAGGCAGTGCAGCTCGTAACACCCTGAATATGCTGAATGATTTTTATTTCAAAGTGTTCCATCCTGTTCAACATTACACACTGCAGGTACATAAGTGTCTTTTATCTCAGACAAGCATTTTATAAGCTTGTTAAAAGTTTGGTAAAGATGATATGTATTTTTTAAAAGATAACCTTTATTTTTTACATACATTTAAACTTATTATTTACCTCTAAAATTACTTACAAGATTTTGCACCAAAATCATCAACAGACCATTGTTTATGACCTGCCATGTCTGTCACTGCTGGCCAATGATGAATGGCTGACAGTGGACTTTATTATGGGTGCCATGGATTCATCCATTCTTCCTGTGAGAAGCGAGATTCCACTGCACAACATGGATAAGGTTCTGGCTGAGTCTTCCCCAGCACCTTGGGTGATCAAAGCTGCTGGTGAGTTGCAGGATATTCTCTTGCATTTAGTACTGGAGACATACAATTTAGAGCAGCTTTGTTTAGCATTTATGTACTTACCTTCTAAAGATATTCAGCATTCTCCCAGTTCATGTGGAGATATACTTGTGTACCGAAAAGTGTTAGAAAGCGAGAACAATTTCTGTATATTTTACAGGAATATAATTCATGGCATCACAAGTTCAATGTAAAAATATATTTAGTGCATGAATTGAGTACATTTTTTGATTCATAAAAAAAAATTCCAGGTGAGCCATCATTCCCAGAGGACAGTGAAGTATCTGGCAGCCCTGTGCTTAATGTACAGAGGAAGATAACTCCTTGGAAATCAATGATTTCTGAGCTAACTGCCCCTCTTGACTTGCCTAATATGGTAATTCGTGTTTGTTTATCTTTGTGATAGCAATGTCAATGTCTATAGCTTACTAAAATTGCAATATGCTGTCAACAGTAGCATGTCCATACTTACCTGACTGGGGTGGCACAAGTGAACCCTCACTTATGTCATCAAGTACAACCATTTGCATGTACACATACACATAATGAGACATGTACACACACACACACACACACATAATGAGACATGTACACACGCACACGCACACGCACACGCACATGCACACGCACACGCGCACACACACACACACACACACACACACACACACACACACACACACACACACACACACACACACACACACACACACACACACACACACACACACACACACACACACACGTACACGTACACGCACACGCACACGCACACGCACATGCATGCACACACCTGCATGGATAAATCTGCACATGGACAAATGTGCTTACACAGACATATGTGGGGACATGTGCAAACACACATGCATGTCCAAAGGCAGGCACAGGCACCCCCCCCCCTGCCCACACACACACACATCTTTATTTATACTATTCATATCTGCTTTAATTCTTAATATTAGTGGCCAGTTGTAGGCCATCCCAAGGACCTCATGATGCTGGGTATATGCAATGTCAAGTATAGTCTTTATAAAATAGAGAAACAGAAATAAAATCAGAGTGGACAGTGCACGTATACACACATTATCAGATATTTTCATCATTATTTTACATGCTCTGAATATGAAATAAAGAAACTTAGAACCAAATGTAGTGGCTTTCTGATTTTTCAGGCTGAACCTCGGCAACAGCGCGGAGGCTTGATTCTGGTTGCTTCACTGATTGATAAGCCACCTAACCTTGGTGGCTTGTGCCGGACCTGTGAAGTTTTTAGTGTGCGGGAATATGTAGTTCCTTCTCTTGCAGTGCTGGAAGACCAGACCTTCAACTCACTTTCCTTAACTGCTCAGCAGTGGGTGCCTGTCAAGGAGGTGAGTATATCAGATTTTTACCAGTGTCATGATCTTCAATTTTACATTAGAGAAATTTGTTTCATTTTTAATTACAGTTTCAGAAAATATGATATGGAAGTAATGGCTATCATTTATGATATAATGGAATAGATGGGGGTTTGTATAGATATCTTTTGTCTTTGTTTAACAGGTTAAACCAGATAACCTTGCAGAATACTTGAGAACCCTTCAGAATGAAGGGTATACATTAGTTGCAGCAGAACAAACTGCCAACAGCAAGAAGCTCTCAGAATACAGCTTCCCAGAAAGAACGGCAGTAATTTTAGGGCAAGTATTACTTCTTATTTATTGATATTCATTGCTAGAGGATTAATTTTATTAGGATTTATTTCTCTGTTATAGTTGAGCTAAATAAAAGTTCTTTGAAAGAGGGACCCAAAAGAGTTTGCGGTGTAAAACCGATCACAATAAATATTGGGATTTATATTGATCAGTCTAGGTTGTTTTACCCTGAAATCAATACTCAAATAATTCTATTTTTTTCAATTTTCAGAAATGAAAGAGAAGGAATTCCATGTGAGCTCCTCCAGCTTCTTGATGTCTGTGTAGAAATCCCACAGTTTGGCATTATTCGGTCTCTCAATGTCCACGTGTCTGGAGCCCTCTTCATTTGGGAATACACACGGCAGCATCTTGCTAAACCTACCTCTGGTTAAACATTTTTTTATCATTAAATAAATCATTTCTGCATGTCATTGTAAACATACTTTTCAGTCTTAGGTGATGTGAAAGTTAATCATTGAGCCATTTCTATTTATTTTCATTTACCATTTTTTTTTTTTTTTTTCAAAAGCATACCAATTGCAGTGTCATCACATACTATACAATATTTTAAAAATCTGCTAATTTGGTTGCTTATACATGAATGTATTTCAATTTTCATGTTCTTTTTATAAGCCATTTTCATCCTATTCAAATATAATTTTATTTACTTTTTATTGTGTTTCAATAACTAAATATATTACAAAGCCATAATAACCATTACATATATATGTACATGGCCAGATCTCTGAAATTATAACATTTGTAAACAGGGTCAAATATCTCAAAATGAACATTAAAATATAGACTATAGAAGCAGGAATCAGAATGATTTTATGCAGAATTGGCTCTGCTTATCATAGAAGATATCAAAAGATTCTAGTAAACCTATGTAAGAGGTCCTGATAGTTTGATGGATTCTGATGTTCATAAGTACCATGCACTTTTTCAACTAACAGGAAAGAACCAATGGGAAAGAACCCAACTGCCATGCACCATATTCAAGGCTGGGTTGTGGGTTATTGGTAAGGGGATGGTGGTGGCTGGTAGGGGTGGTACAACTAGTCATAATGTTAATGATGATAATAGTGATAGAAGGCAGAAAGAATGAGATGGAGATTTAGGATTATAATATTTATTTACAGAACAATTTATATGCTTTGCAAAAAGCCAGGAAAAGTTATCCATGTATACCCAGTCTGGCTTATCTCCTATTGGCCTAATTAAGAAGGCCGTAGTTGCACATTAAGTGTACATATATATAAAACTGCACTGCGCCTCAGCTTGACTTGAGTTTGGTTTTAGCCTTAAGTCTATAGAATCACATCTATGCTACTAATAATTTAATATGACTAGCATTTCTTTTAACTGCTAATCTTACTAGTTCACTTAAAGTGTTTGTGGGACATAAGTTTGCTGATTATTCTCAAATTTTACCATAGATTGTAATGAGGTAAACTGCTCTTTTGTTCAAAATGCTGATGCTGCACCCTACTCATCATCTGTAGCAGGCCTTTACTTGTCCGTGAGGCAGAGACTGGGGCTGGTACGTAAGCAATGACTGAGCTTGTTGGTTAAATAAGAGCTGAAGCGGGAACTGAAGCTGTAGCTAAAGCAGGAACTAAAACAGAGGCAGGCATTGAAGCAGAGGCTGGAGCTGGCAGGGTTTGAGGGAACTTGTACTGCAGGTTGTTTGGCCTCATAAATTCTCCCAGGTTTGGTGAACTCAATCTCATGTTTTAGGCTGGGAAGTGGGGTTCCGCAGTGGGACAACTTTTTTTTTTCTAGTTTCTCTTTTACTTCTTACAGACAGATTGTTCATAAGGAAGATCTTCAATTTTCCATTATGATGAAGATATACAACTTACACATTTCCTAGGGATATGTTAACCCAGAGATTTCTTGGTGCTTTCCTTGATAGTGCAATAATGGCAACGGGGTTGATGACAAGGACATTCGTGGGTCCATGTCCATACTTTGAGTAAATAGGTGTGAGTTATTGGAAGATGGTGCCTTCAAAAGATGCCTTGCCTTCAGAAGTTTTATTTCACTACTTTCAATACACCGTCTTTAAAGGTTATTGATATGTATGCGATAGCCTGAGATTTTCCTATCTGAGCAGTTGGCCTGCAGTGAGGGTTGCATTTGTTCATCACGCTATATGTTGCAGCTCATGCCAAGGTCTATATAAAGATCTTGATTCTCGCAGCTTGTCCATTCTACTATCATAACGCATAACACTGTTTAGGAAAGTTAATAAAATACTTCCATAAACACTGAAATTTAGTATTCCTTGAGTCGCACTGCTAGTATAATGCCGCAGTCCTCAAACGAACACTAGGAGGGTCATTCACCTTCCATGGTAAATTACTCATTCTGATTCTTTTAAATATTGTATGAAGATTGAGATGACTTTATTTATAAGTAAAGCCTTCCTATCTCGACATATTTGCAATCTCTGTACTTATATAAGTAATTATAAAGGGATTCCCTAACAAAACTGCACTTATAATCAAACGATTTCATAGATGATCAAAGAGGTATCACCGCACCGCAATCAACAATGACCACATTCGCTTTCCTTTCATACCGAGCACTCGCTGCGGACATAAGTACTTCCAAGCCATTTTCGACATAGCCAAAAACCTTATCAACTTCAGTATTAGCTCGACCACCTCCTATAACGATGGAAAATTGTGTACTGTTTTCGGGGCCACGATGCTTCACAATCCCAGCGCGCTCTCGCACTTTCGGCATGGGATTCCCACTTGGTGTTATGATCGGCTTTCCCGCTTTCCCGTCGTAATCTCCTCCTTGTATACACTCGTAAATATAGCCCCTATAACCATCACTAAAAATTCCTGTGTTGGCGTAGGAGGGACCCTTCTCCCCCGTGCACATCATAAAGAACTGCTTCGCCAGCCAGTTGTCACGGCAGAGTCGTATTTGCACTCGACGTGGCGGTGAGTCTTGCCATACTAGCTCCAGGAAGGCCAGAGTGGAAGACAGGTCAAAGGAGGTCGCCATTTCTCGGAACTGAAAGGAAGGGCAATGGAGATAATGATGATGACAATAATATCAGCCACACAGCAATACTGCTTACAGCCAAATAAGGATAGTGACCCAGGCAACAATGGTCATAGCAACAATAATTGTGATTTTGTTACTATCACTACTCTCATTAGTAATGACCATGATGATAATAATAGACACTGAATTTGACAAGTAATGTACCCACCGGGATTGTGTGGGCGCTGGCCGGAACACGCGCGTCTTTCAGGTGATGGACGTAGACCTCGTTGTGGATTCGGCTTATCCTGGCAGAGCGGTGGTTTTGCACCGCGAATGCTTCACCAGCGTTCAGGAGGGCCTTCGCGGGGCCGTCTTTCTGCAGGACGCGGTCAACCTGTCGTT